GGAACTTGACCGCTAAAGTATGGATCAGGCATGGTCAAAGCTGACCGGCGGCGTTCCTGAATAGCCTATAATGCATAACACTCCGCTTTCTGTCTATGCCAATAACGAGAACACATACCTTCCGTTCCTCATCACTAATCCTCATTCTGCGTCCACTGCCAAGTGCTGGGTCGGGATTCTCCTCCTCTTTAATCTCTGGTTCCACGACATAGTCATCGGCAGCGTCTGTGGGCAGAGGTACGACGATATCAGTGACCTTCCACTTTGGCTCTACGCGGACCCTTCTAGGACCAGTGCCTACTGCCGCTGAGAGTACGCCACCAAACGAGTTTCGTCCCGCGCCTCGGCCGACACCAGGATTCATGCGCGGGGGCACCTGAGGGGTCATGAAGTTGCCCCATTGGCGTGGTGGTTCTGGCGTCCTAGCACTTGGTTCAATAGGAGGTGCTAGATCTGTGGGTGAATTTGGTAAGGAGTCGCTTGAAGGAGGTAGCTCGTGGTCCACGTCCATCTCAACCTGAAAGCACAGGGTGAGCAAAATGAGCGAGGCAACAGAACGGAGTTCTGACATCGTTGATTTCGCCTTCTGGTTGGTCTTCAATTTCTTGGTCTTTGACCTCGTCTGGTGGCGCAGAAGATGAACGGAAGGGCCAGCTGAAGCCCTTGACGGCTTCAATGCTCTTGCGCCAGCGGCTACCTTGGTCTGTGGGCTGAGTAGGACAGTCTTGCCCGTCCTCACCCTCGTCCTCCTCCTCATCAGCCGAATCATCGCCTTGGTCACTATTATCATCGCCTTGGTCGCTATTATCATCGCCCTCATGACCTTCAGTCACCTCGGCAATGAACTCTTCGACTTCCTTCTCCTCTCCCACTTCTTCCCGTTCAATTTCTTGCTTGGTGATCGCTCGTTGAGCTGAACGAATAAGAACGGCGCGATGTAAGGAAGGGCGTGCCTGCAGACGTCGGCGTGGTGTTTGGTATTGGTTCATTCCTGAACCCGGTACAGTACGTCCAAAAGCACCCACACGTGCTGGATTTTGCGGTGGTTGGGAAGGAGGACCTTCTACTTCGACAGATTCGAGGATAACGAGGTCTTTCCCTTCCTCAACTACGTGTGGGTGGTCTCCATCTACGAGGACAATTTCTTCTTCGTTCTCGTCCTCGCTGATGTCATCCTGATCGGGTGCGTACTGCTGTTTGAGTGGCGATTTTGAGCGTTGTTTGAGTGGGCTTTGCAGAATGCGGAGATTTTCCCCCGGATTCTTGCTCGGGCGAGGAGTGAAGACTTCCGCACTCTGAATCATAGACATGCGCAGCGTCTTTCGGCACGTTCCAGGAGTCATCGGAACGTCTTTCGAAGGGCTCATGTAGAGCGCAGGGCGGAGCTCTTTGGGTGGATACGTAAATACAAAGCGTTTCTGGTGAATCTCGATCTCGGAGTTGTTCGAGACGGGAACTGTTGTTGGCATAGCAGAGTTTGCAGATGGAAGAACGTGACAGCCATCAATGTAGAGCCCGTTTGAGCCAAGAACGATGACGAATGCCTGAATACGAACACGGGTGAAGTTGGTGTGTATGTCTTGTTCCGGTAACATAAACGTACCTTTCGTTCTTGGAAGATGATCTTTGCATGAAGGGCATCAACTGATGGATAGTACAGCCTGACACTGCACCTTGGGTCTCGCCCAAAGGTTATTGTATCGTCGTCAATGGGAAACGATGCCACAGGCGTATTTGGCTCAAGTCTCTTCATGAGACGAAGCGTTCCGAAGCACCCAACTTCACTTGGGTCCATCCTGGAGACGTAAAGCGTGATGTCAGTAGGGTATTCTCACCGCGCGTAACAAAAAGTCGTTTAACGTCGTCGCTGTCGTCGTCGAGGTTAGCTGTCAAAATTGAACAACTACGACGCGACGCTTCACTACATCACGTGGTCACGTATAAACACGTGACTTACTTGAGTAGTACAGTATGGATGTTGAACGTATCGACCATCATGCATCATGGATCTTATATTAGGTCTGCGTAGGAGACTCAATCGGAGGTAGCATCTTTGCACATCGTACAGTGCAGAAAAACATGATTCAGACCAGCAAGTGCTCCGCTTACACGCCTCCTGGAATGCCTTACACTTGGTCCACCTCACCAACACATCAGAGACGGTGATAATGACAGCGGTGGACATGAAGAATGTTTTTTCACTACCTAACCGATTTGAATTTTACGAGGCCAAACAGTCGTTCTCTTGAGGACACCGCGGTCAAGTACCACATATGTGCGATCATGATGGACCCAATACGAGTATTTTGGTTCCGATGGTCCAGCCAAGGACGATATCGACAGGGGCTGTTACTCTTGATGTCGAAGACTTGAAGTTCTGGGGCATCCCGTGACGCGAGTCCCATCCGAATTGAGAGCCTCCAAAAAGTACAAGCTCGCATCTCCCGAGGAGGGAATTTATAACGCTGCCAGTGATCAGTCACGGGGAACTGTATGATCGTTGTCGAGGAGCGGGTCCTGTCGGCGGTCAGAATGAGCAATGGATACAGTACAGTCCACTGAAGGGAGCCTACCGTCATATCAGTGATCTTAAGTCCTTGACTTAACTGATGCATGTCTCTTTGGACGAGTTCCTCAAAGGTAACAGGAGTGCGAGAGTGTAGCGGCGAAGCCCGTCATCGTAAGGTGTAAAAGATCAGGAAATCCTATGTGACAGGCCTGACACAATGTGACGTGACGTGACACATAAGGCAAACAATTTCTTTGGATATGATCGAGTAGACCAAAGCCTCATACGACTTCAGGCCACGAGTACTAGGGGGAGGTAAAAGTTAATCGAACATGGTTATTACCAAGGGTTCAAGTCCATCGAAATCCTCATCAAAGGTAGCACAAAAACCAGTCAGGTCTTCACTAGGAGCACCGTCTCAGCTCTCCCAATCGAGTCGCAAGGGGAAACGGGCATGGAGGAAGAACATCAATATACAAGCCGTCGAAGACGGTCTGGAGAGCCTCAGAGCAGAGGAACGAGTTATCGGGTAAGTTAGGGGCTGTCTTGATGTGCTCCATACATCGTTGAATGGGTTCTTATGAGTAATATGCTGCAGCTCGACATTACAGAAACAAACAGACAATCAGTTGTTCGTGATTGATACCAAGGGCGACGAACAAGGTGAATATCACGATGTTATTCCGATGTTTGCCCCTCTCATTTTCATCTGCTGTTCACTCAGTTCGCATAACCTTACCACGATACTCGAAATCCCAACTAACGACTGCAAAAATCCTCTCGCAACGCTCTGCTGTACCCGCTGTTGTATCGCGTGCAACAAAGTCATCACAACCGAAAATCTCCCGAACAGACAAAGAGCGACTTTTACGAATTGCTAGGCGCCCTCGTAAAGGTCCATTTAACGCAGTGATGGATCCAACGCAGTTTGGCGCTGGGAGCGCAGTTATTGACGTGTCGCATGCCGTCAAGGCCAGCGGAGGACACGATTTATGGGCACATACTGTTAAAGACATTATACCAGATGGTCTAGAGACCGTCCAAAAGCCCAACATCAAAGTTAGCTATATTCCTCGCATTTTTCCGCTTGGTCTTCTCATCGGCACCGTTGCAGAAACCTGATCTTGGACATCCTCGAGATATAATCGACGTCCCCGCTGTATCCGTTCCTCACCAAGGAGCCTCTTACAATCCACCCGTCCGAGCTCATGAAGAACTCCTCTTGGAGGTTTACAAGGTTGAACAACGGAGACAAGAAGAGGCAGATAAGCTCGCAAGGCTCCAGAAGAAGATTGAGCAGGCTAGGGCCTTTGCTGCGAGTGACGTCACCGAGGATGTTCCAGTTGGTATGGTCGTTGATGAGATAATGGACGAGGAACTTGCGACCATGACGGATGTGGCCGTCTCCAGAAAACCAGCGCCGAGGAAAACTAAACAACAGCGTGCCCGTATGGAGAAGCAGCGAGCGGAGGTATGCTCCAGTGGAATTTTCAATTGTAATGCCCGCTTACAAAACAAACACAACTCACAGAAGCGCGCGCTGGCCGAGAAGGCAGCTCGGAAACGCCTACTAAACTCAATAACCACGATCAAGTCGCTCCGTTCCGAAGTTGCCAAAGCCGCAGATGCCCGTCAACAAGCAAGCCTAGCACGCCAGCTTGCCCTTCGCCTCAAGCTACGCAAAGGACTAGCCGGTCAACGACTTGGAAAGTATAGGGTACCTGAGAATGTGATCGAAGTACAGATCGGCGAGGACCTGAGTGAAAACCTCAGAAGCCTCAAGGTACTTCATTCGAATCTTCGAATCTCTAGCTCTACTGATAGTTTTGTTCCAGCCTGAAGGAAATCTGTTCCGTGATCGCTTCGTGAGTTTACAGCAACGAGCCTTGATTGAGCCCCGCGTTCCAGTTTTGTAAGTATCCGCCTCAATGTGAAGAGTCCATCTCTGATACGCGGTTCCTCAGACCAACGAAGCGAAAAGCCAAGCTAAAAGAGTATGAAAAGCATGCATGGAAACGCTTTGAGTGACAACATATAGTTCTATTCACATCGCTTTTCTACTCGTATGACGGGCACTCGCGCGAAATTCAGATGCCGCCTTATGATCTTCACGTTTCACCGCGTTCTATGACAGAGCAAACAATCCTCGTGCCAGTTCAAGACCTTTTTAGTCTTCTGTTGCAATCCTGGCACACCAAACTTTGACAGACTCGGAGTCCTCCCTTCGTTTGTAGATAGCAGACTGACAAGCGAGATCCTCGCGCTTTCTATGCCCTCTTCACTGGAGGCACCCGGATAGGATGGCTGGAATGCTGGCCCTTGACATGATTCAAGCTTCACGTCGACATAAGATGCTTGACAAAATCCACTTTCTCCCATTGATTTCGTGCGCATACCGCCAGTTCACCCTTTGTGCCTTTGTCTGGGTTCCATTGGGCCTTTGATTTGGTTTTGGTGATAACTGAGCCTACGTAAAAAATCAAAAGAAGCATGGACACTGTGGGAGTCGAACCCACGACCTCACGCAATCTTTGATGCGAAGCGTGCGCGCTACCAACTGTGCCAAGTGCCCCACGGCGGTGGGGGACCTCGCATGACACATGAGTCCATATGCTCGTGTCATTCTCTTCCATCTGGTAATCTTGATATTCTGTAGCTTGTTCCCGCTCCCGCAAGCATGGAAATAGACCCAATCGAATCCGAAATCTCTAACCAGCTCCCAGTTCAACAACACAGAAGGCGTCCCGCACGTCTCATTGACGGTGACCATCCCTTTGATCTAGACGCGTACATCTCCAGCTACACCGGTGAGCACCCCTTTGTCCTCCGACACTCCGACATGAGTTCACAAGAAAGTAATTTGAACGGCCGTCGCGCATAGGCCGTACCGCCGTGGATAGACTGATAAATATCACTGCATCCTGTCCTTCTATCGCACCGCAGGCTCTGAAACTCGCGTTTACACACCTGTATCAGCTTCGCGATCCTTCGCTGGTTCAGGCTGCGATATCAGCATATGACACTGTCACATCACTTCCAGAGGGTCAAGGACTGCCACCACTGGGTGACGTGGTGGTTGTGGATACACCCTGGATCGATAAGGTCACGAAAAATAATGTGGCGGAGCGCATCAAATTGGAGGTAGAGCTCAAGACTTACTCGAATAATATGATCAAGGAGAGCATACGGGTGAGCTTATACATTCCACATACTGTATTACCCAGCTTCATGCACTTGTGGATAGATGGGTCATAGAGATCTCGGCGACTATCATCGCGCTACAGGTGATTATGCGTCGGCATTGAAGCACTACACAAAATCTCGTGAATTCTGCTCGACAAGTCAACATATTCTAGATATGTGTCTTTCAGTGTTAGAGGTGCGTTGTGATACCAAAATACAACCAAGTCGCCCGAGACAATTGAAAGCAATGCAGCTTGTCATCGAGCAACGTAACTATGCACACATAACGTCGTATATCTACAAGGCAGAAAGTGCACTGGAAGCAGCAGCAAACGTGGCCACTGCTGGAACCAACACCACTGCTCCTGCGCAATCTGCACCTAGGAAAGCTAGTGCGGAACGCGAGCAAGTCCAGTCGAAGCTTGACTTCGCTATGGCTCTGTCACACCTTGGCCAAGGTAATTACGAGAAAGCCGCATCCGCGTTCTTAAGACTCGGCCCTGCAGAACAACTTGAAAACTGGATTGGCAAGGCGAGGATGAACTATTGATCATGCTGCCTTACTGGGCACCTGACGTGTCGTGCAGCTTCTTGCCCCAGGTGATATCGCAATCTATGGCACGCTTTGTGCCCTTGCTAGTTTATCACGCTCCGCCATCAAGGCTCAGCTCCTCAGCAACTCCGTGTTTTCCGTTTACATCGAACAAGAACCCTACATACGCGATCTCATACAAGCATACATGTCAAGTGATTTCAAAACAACCATTGAACTGCTCTCGAGGTATTCGGTGCGATTTCCTCCATGCATTTCTGCTCACCTGTCTTGCTGACATGTCATGGGAATGATTGCGACAGACAAGACACTACATAGACATACACCTTGGGGTGCACGTGAACGATATCACCCAGTACATCCGGAATACTGCCGTCGTACTCTACTTCCAGCCTTTTGAGACAATCCGTCTTGAGCGTATGGCCACCGCGTTTGGGTGGACTGTTGAGGAGGTCGAAAAAGAGGTAGTCATGCTGATCCAGAGTGGACAGATCCAAGGACGAGTGGATAGCCAGAACAAGGTAAGCCCCTGCGAGAGTATGAGGTTGGCTTGATTCGTTCACTCACTGGTTGCGATGATACAGATTCTGAAAGCAAAGAAGCCAGATCATCGCGCAGAACTGTTTTCCTACGCCATGAAGACAGCATCTGATATTCAGAGCACGAATCGTAAACTTCTGTTGCGAATGCGATTGTAAGCTAGACTGTTCTTGTTTTTGGCATGAGGGGTCTGAGTGGGCTGTTTCACCTCAAGGCAACAAGCAGATCTCGTTGTCAAAGGACCCAAGTCAAACTCACGCAGGGACCAAGCGCAAGGACTTGAAGCCGCCATAACTATGGGGGAGATGAGCTGAGATAGTAGTCGTACTTTTTCTGACCTCGCCACATGCAGAGATTCATCCCTTGGTGCAATCTGAAAACAACCATCACGATTTTCAAACGTTCATGTGAGATACCCATACGCAAAGGAACACAGATGCTCATACTACGGTAGTAGTAGCACGCTGACCAAAACCTAAACGCACTCGTACCTTATCCCCCTTCTTGAACTCAAGCACACCCTCACCCACAGCTTCGACTTTTCCCGCGGCTTCATTCCCTAAGGTAGTCTGTAACCCAGAATTCTAGCCGACAGGGTTCAGTTCGACGGAGATCTCTTTGACGATTATCTCTCCAGATGCGGGGGCTCTCTAGGACCGACTTCGAAGGTTCCTGTCTTCAAAGTAGAGGGCGCGGTAAATAGTTTGTGATAGTGCGACTTATTGTGGGCGGAGGGAAGGGAAGGGAGAATGTCGCAGTGTGGAACTTGAGGAGCAGCCCTCTGAGACTGAGCTTGTGTATCTATCTAGCGGTGAATTCTGCATCAGTCAGAGGGCACTTGGATTGCTCATTAGATGGTTTGGACAGTCCAGTCATGATCAGTGTGAGTAGGTACTACTACCGTACATATTACACCTCGCTCATTCTGCCACCAGAATAGCCGAGATAGACACTTCTGGAAGTACTTCAAGACTTTTTTTGATGGACTTTGGTTCATCGCCATGGTGGTGCCGAGTTTAGGTGGTATCCATTTGCCCTGTAGACGTTGCTAACGGGTCAGCTGGCGCTCGATACTTGATCGACCTGAGGGAGCAACGTTTTTATCTGGAACCCCTTGCCTTTGGTTCAAATCCCTTCGCGAAGTCTTGCATTTTTCGTCCAAAGCTGTTGCCTCAAGGTCACTTTTGTTATACCATTAGGGCTCCCATATCGTTCTTATCCGGGTCTATCAGACTTCAGTGCTTCACGAACTTCATCGAGTGTCATCTAGTATCACTGTGACTTCGTCATTTTGGATGAGCATTCCACCCTCTGGGGACATCGAGTCTTCAGACTTGACAACACGCTCCTTCAACGAAGATCGTCATCGCAGCGCCAACAAGGTGAATCTGTAAATATGCCATGGGGGGACGGATTTTAGTCGGTCGACCCGAAACGTGGCTGTTGTACAGCGAGAACAATATAGGGCAGACCTCGAAAAGTTTGAGTGCAAGCACCAAGAAGACCGCACGCGCCAGCAATCTGACCCCTCAATAGAAAGAACCTGTCTTGTTTGGAATACAGCACACGTCACATACACCCACGGTACGATGTCGGCTTTCCTCATGCTCACGTTCCATCTTTCCATACGTCCACGTTCCATCTTTCCATACGTCCACGTTCTGACGAAAGAAGTAGTAGGGAGCTATACGAACCACCGCGTGGGTCTTAGCAAGGACAGTCAACCGCGACAGCGTAGCCACTGTCCTCCTGGTCATTATATAACGAGGCATGCTGAAGTATAACTTGATCCTCAGTTGTCGTTTTTTCCAGAAAACATCCCTGTTAATATGCGCTTCACTCTCACAACGGCCATTGTTGCCTTACATTTCCTCATTGCTGCGGCTCCTCAGCCTGCTAAGCAGGGAGGCACAGCGATCCCCCTCTCCAAGCGCTCGTCGTTGGTCAATGCCGACAAGAGCGTCAACTCTGAGGCGCTTAAGTCTCATGTTGCTTCAACTAGGGCGTACGTACCTATCTACTTGGCCTCCGGACTTTGTTTTGCATTAGCTTGAACATCCAGTAAGATTCTTCGTGGCTTTGATAACTTTGAAAAAAACACCGGTGCCTCGCATCCGTCTGTTGGGAAAGCGACTCGGAAGCATGCAGCCACCGGAAATAAATTGATAATGGACAACGGCATATGGAGCGGCGCTATTGAGGTTGGTACACCTCCCGACACCTATTTCGGTACGCTTGTGCTGGCCTTACAATCAATGTACAGCTCATCCTCTCTCACAGTTATGTTTGACACCGGCTCGAGGCGCGTGTTTGTTATCTGGCACATGTATGTTGTGAACCTCTCACTGAACTTGATTACAGTGACCTGTTTTTGCCGGGTCCCGACTGTGGATCGAGCTGCGCTGGCCACTACATCTACGACCCTTCATTTTCTGAAACTTCCGTTGATCTGGAAAAGACCTTCTGCATGGAGTTCGAAAACGGTGCCGCTGTTGCCGGTGAGCAGTACAACGACATTGTCATGATTTCCGACCTTACGGTACGTTCGATGTGTCATTTCAACGACATCCGTTCTGACGTTTGAGCAGGCTTTTGATCAAACGCTCGGTGTGGCTTCGCAGTACTCTCCTGGCCTTGGATCCACGAGGTTTCCCCCAGATGGTTTGATGGGGATGGCTTTCCAATCTATCTCTACATATGATGCGAGCCCCGTCTTCCAGACACTCCTTACTACGGGTCAGACAGATGAGCCCGTTTTTTCATTCAGTTTCGCAGCTCCTGGGCCCGAACTATACATCGGCGGTATCAACCCGACCATGTACACCGGTGATATCAGCTACACTCCGGTCACCCAACAAGTAAGTCATTGAACCTAAGGTGTGCCCCGACTGTAGTTGACGGCGCACACAGGGTTTCTGGCGAGTTAATATAGACAGTATAGAGGGCAACGGAGAAACATTGTTCATTGACCTTTCCTGTGTCATTGACACCGGCACTGTATTCATCCACGGTCCGGATGAGGACGTCGCGATTCTTTACAAAACCATTGGCGGTACTGATGCGTTTGACACTCTTGGCAAAGGCTTCTGGACCTGTATGTTCCCTGTCATTTCACCTTCGGCGCTTTATCAATATTCCATCGTCCTTTAGTCCCTTGTGATGATGTTCCCAGCATCAGCTTCACCATCGCTGGCAGCTCCTTCTTCATCCCCGCTGATGAGCTCAGCATGGGGCCGACCTACGATGGCTCAGATGACTGCGTTGGCACCATCGTTGGGAACACTGTTAATGGTGAG